GCGTAACTTCGCAACCGAAGCATCCAGAGCGCTGAATTTTTTGGGCATGGATTGGGAGTCATTGTAGTAATTTCTAACAGCCATAGTGGCCAGATACAATTCTTTTAACTAGAAGCATCTGCCGGGAAGAGCGTGCCACTGGCAAAAAAAAAACCTGCGGGGGAACCATGCAAAAAACCGGCAGCCGGTATGCTTTCGACTAAGTTAAAACCATCATTCACGTACGTCTGGGTACAATCTGCGGATATCCAAAAGCAAAAGTAGCTTTTTTGGATTGGGAATCGATTTCGGGAGTTAGAGAAAATAGGTAGCTTAAACTTTCTTGTGAATAGAATAATGCTTGAGGTGTATTACAACACATGCTCATTAATCACTTATAAAAACGTACCTTTGCATACGATACTGTTGTAAAAACCTGTTCAGCTATTCAACACAGTCTACAAGTTATGCAGCACAGTTCATCCGTATTGTCTGTATTACTTTTGCTGTGCTATGCGCCAATGGCAATCGAAAAGTTTACTAAATACTGCCAGCTGAAATAATTGTATTTTTAATTTTGTGTGGCAAAACTACCATGTGATTTTGCCGGAATGAGCAGATCCGGAGTTGGCGGATTTCGAACCGTTCAAGAGTGCGAATGGAGTAAATTTCGAATTGTGAAGAGTGATAAAATATTTGCAAAATTTCAGGAAATTTTGGGCCACAAGGTCCACAAGGAGCTGATGGGCCACCTGGTGAGGTTGGACCTCCTGGGCGACCAGGAAAAGATGCAGAGGTATTTATCTAATATCCACCTTCATTATCCTCAGGAAAGTACGAAGTTTAGCTGCTCAATAATGAACATTTTCAAAATTTTAATTCCTAAATGGCGGAAGTTTTTCATGTTCAAAACATGTAATAATTTTCAACGTATTTCAGTACTGTCCTTGTCCGGAACGACGAGAAAGTGCAGTCAGGCGGCAAAAAAGCTACAGAAACAAGCTCTGAAATATGAAATGTTCTTGCTAC